GTGTAAAAAATACTTAATGGGTGGTCAGCGGGTGCTCTGGTGTTGTTTGCGTCTTTCCTATCAAACATCTGTCATCTTTACCTCCCCTCCTTCTATTTTGTGTTTGTTACTCTCTTGTAACACCTCTATTCTTCATCACTTAAATGACCTTATTGTGTTTCAAGTACTGTCAAACTCATTACTAAAACAACTAAAAACCAGACTTACATTGAAAACAGACCAGCCAAGCAAAGAAGACTAACCCTAGCTGTGTGTGTGGTGTCTGTACAGGAACATCACGGCTTTCCCCGCCTCGAGTGAGCTGCCCGGCACCACGGAGGAGGCGCTCACCTTCTGGGTGAACAAAGTGTGTGCGGCGCTGACCTCTGACCCCGCGCTCTCTGACGGACAGCTGCTTGAGGGGGAGACGGCACAGAAGGTGAGCGGATGGATGGGGGGTGTCTCTGTCTCTCGCTGGAGGGTGTCTCTCTCCCTGGGGGGTGTCTGTCTCCCTGCTTCTTCTCTCCTTCCTCTCTGTTGTTTCTGTCTGTCTTGTGGGTGGGTGGTTTATCTCCCCTCCTTCTTTTTTAGGCTTGTTACTCTCTTGTAACACCTCTAATCTTCTGCCGCTCATATGACCTTATGCAGTTGTGAGCGCCGTAAAACATCTACTACAACTAAAACTTGTCTGTCTTGCTTTTTAGTTTACTTTTAGTAATGTTTTTACGGCGCTTGCAACTGCATAAGGTCAGACTTATTCTGCTCACCTCTCTAGCTTCAACAGCACAAAGTCTGCTTCGACTATCAAGGCACCCCGGAAAGTTCCGGGTCATAAGAAAGTGACAAACATACGAAAGAAGTAGAGGAAAAATGATGATAATAAGGATGAGGGAAGAAAAAGCAGCAGTTCCTCGAATGTAGTTCCGGCACAGTCATGAGCATGACATTGATGCATCTGCCCATGCACAATTCTACTGTGCATAAGAACAGGTTACTATCCCCCATTGGCCCAAAGACACATCAGTCAGCAGCACCACTATTTGTGCACATCAGTCAGCAGCACCACTATATCTGCACATCAGTCAGCAGCACCACATTTGTGCACATCAGTCAGCAGCACCACTATATCTGCACATCGGTCAGCAGCACCACTATATCTGCACATCAGTCAGCAGCACCACTATATCTGCACATCAGTCAGCAGCACCACTATATCTGCACATCAGTCAGCAGC